ACCTCCAGCGTATCAGGTTTGATAACGTTCTCGTCAGCAGTAGCAGTTGCTCACTCATCATGTTGCTCCGCTGGAACGATGCCTTCATCAATGGGTAATTCCGGTCCAATGTTTCGCTGTTCCACTGGATCGTCTGCGTAAAGAACTGACGCAGGATCAGCCTCTTGTACGTTGTCTTCGTCTTAACATTCACCGCGAGAAATTTCAAATTGGACTTCATCCTTGATACGCTGCATATCGTCAGCAGACATTTTACAAGACTTCAGGATCACCCGCTTTTGGTCCATTAAACGCTGCTCGGAGACATCCTCGCAATCAGGAAACTTATCAAGGAAAAGTTTCCGCATTTCCGCTCGGTATCCAGGAATCGTTTCCATTTTAGACCCGAGGTAATAACAATGCATGACGTGTTGATTCATATTTAGACTTCAAGTCATGCGTTGCCTGAGTTTCCCTGCTTTAGTGGTCGCCGGCTGACTAGTCGACGAAACGCTTGAAGCAGGGTTGGTATTAGTCTAAGAGCCAGCTGCATTTTTGGCGCCACTACTCCGTCACGCTTGAAACTTAGTGGAGACATAGTTCTGACCTCCCTAGTAACGGATTGGGCAATATTAGACTTCAAAAGTGGTGCGTTTGGCCGCTGCGCCCCCCGAAAAACGGAAAAAAGCGTGTTTGAAACCGCACAAAAGAGCCACTTTTCGGCTCCTGAAAAGTGCTTTGACGTTCGTCCATAACCTCTATATTGTAAGCACGTATAGTTTGGGTACATGTTAACTTAGTTCTAGCCCGGCAGACGAATTCAAGTTCATCCGGTCGATCGGCCGACTTCGAAATTGGCTCCGCAAGCAATTCATAATTACGTATCATGATGTCAACGATTACGGTGTCAACAAACAGTTTTTCTAAGTTTTTGTTGACACCATGATCATCCAAAAATGAATAATTCTGACTCTCTTGAAGTATGATCACGGTGTCAACGATCACGACGTCAACGAAACTTAAAACTTCCCTCTATAAAATTTGTCAAATTTTAGGTCTTATTTTTTCGTGTGTTATTTACTCAAACCTACGTCACCTATACTAACCTAACCTAGCCTAATCGAACCTAACCTAACCCAACTTTACATTACAAGACCTCGCCCACTTTCACAGAACTTAACTTTCCCCAACCTTACCCTACCTAACTTTAACCTTACCTACCTAATCTAACTGTACATGTCCTGACCTAAACTAACCTAATCTAACTATACGTGACCCAAACCTCTCCTGTACAATTAATTTTTTAATTTCACTCATAAGGAAGATATTTCTCTGTTTGTTGACACCGTAATCGTTGTCACCATACTCCGGGCCCATTTTTGCACCGTGAAAAAATTGTTACTTATTATCAAAATGGTGACGTTAAATGGTGTCAATGATCACCGTGTCAAAAATCAGAAAAATATCTGCCTTACAAGTAAGATTAGAAAATTAACCCTCTATTTACTTATTGCATGAATTAATTTTGGATCACGGATTTGGAATTATAAATTTTTCTCTGAAAGATCTTCGAATAATCTCTGAAGGTACTTCGCAGTTTTTGTATTGAAAGAGTGTTCCATTATCTTTGATGTCAAAAAATGAGGCTTAGATTTCATTGAGAAGCTGACTGAAACATTATTACTTTATCCACCTGAACCGCAAACTGATAGACGTGTCAGTACATGACATCTTTCTTCTACATTAAACAGCTACAAGCAAAATCTTGGAAGCACTATTTCTGACGAACTACCGGACCGATAAGGATGATCTTTACATGGATGTCATCTGTAATAGCTGTAGATGTGCAAAAAATTATGAAACCCCCAACTTTTAATGTTGTAGAGCTTTTAAAGCTCATGTCACTTATGTCCAATGTTAATAGCGTGAGAGATATGTCGTTTCCGCTAGAAACGTCGAGGTCTGGGATTCTACCTGAGTGACTCGAATAAACAATGAACAATGAAAAACCTCGTGTAGGGCTCCTCATTCCGAGAGTTGAGGAACGGTGCATCGCTCAGGGTTCAAGGACCATACCAAGGTATATGGTTTTTACTCAATTTTTCCTCATTCTTCCGGCTTCGATTGTGGCGTTGGCATAACCTCGCATAAACGCAAGGCGCAAGCGCCCTCCAGGGGGTTGGGCCGCGTAGCGGTCAGGGGTAGGGCCCCCTAGTAAAGCAAATATAAACCCCGAACCGCTTTTATTTCCGCCTAATACAAGGAAAAAAGGAAATCAGTTTTTCAGCCCACGGTGGCTACTAAATGACAGGATTTCGTTTTTTGAGAGCCGGTAATTTTTTGGAGACCTCCATGGGTAGGAGTAATTTTCAGCTCTGAGGGGTAGTTTTAGGGAGTAAAACTTTATGATTTGCCTAAAATCGGTATTATCAGTTTTTAAACTCGAGTACCTTGAACAACCCTATGTAAGGAAATTAGACATTACCAGGGGGCTACGCCCCCTGGCCGATCCGCGATCCAACCCCCAGGTCGTTTTGTTTCAAGAACTGAGAGGGTAGGACCGAAGGCATGAATCGTCTGGGCCCCCGAGTTTTTTTTATAATTTGGTGAAATGAGTTCCCAGCTGACTCTGGATAGTTGACTTTTGATCAGTCGTGACGTAGTTAAAATTGACTGCCGTAGAATTGGACGTACTTCTGCCAAACGGAGCTATGTGCATTAAGATATGAGCCCCGAGACCCATAAGAATATATGCATAGCAGGGCTCACGTCCGTGCGAGGGCGACCGCGACCCTTTCGGATTGTAAAGTGTCGCGCGAGAGTTAGGTTTTAGAGAGTTTTTGCAAAATGCAATCCAATTGATGTTGGTTTGATGGTGATTTCATTTTGAAGTAGTTTGTTCACCGAAATTTCAGAACATTTAAAAAAAAGAACACAGTACTTTGAGGTTAGGAAAAGAACACTTTCAGATACTAGATACGGTAATAAATGGCAAAAAAGACCACCATTTATTCCCCTTTCTATAATCTGAACTCGGGGGCACTCAAAAATAACAATGAATCAGCTTGAGTAAATATAGGTCATTTCTAAGCACACAACAACGAATCATCAAAACAGGCAACTCTGCCTGGAGAGTTCAACGAGCCTTGCAATTAATTGCGTATTTTAATAACTCGACTGGGTTTTTTAATTAACATGTTAATTCATTATCAATTCATTTCTAGTTGTGCTATGAGCAGGTTCATCGACTTTTAACGATAGTTGTCTCTGTCGTATTAAATATTGATTCAAAACTCAGTGTTCTTTTCCTAACCTCAAAGTACTGTGTTCTTTTTTTTAAATGTTCTGAAATTTCGGTGAACAAACTACTTCAAAATGAAATCACCATCAAACCAACATCAATTGGATTGCATTTTGCAAAAAGGAACCAGGAGCATTACAATATTGCTAAGATTGTGCAGCTCTTTTTGTCTTGGAAGGAATACCTAATTATCTCGAAACAGTTTCTATTTAACTCGCTAAAAACTGTAAATTTAGGACAAATATTACCATGTAAATATCACATTATTTCAGGATATAAATCGTTGTATTGCAATGGGTGAAGTTGCTTAATCTTAGCAACATTGCAATGCTCCTGGTTCCTTTTTGCAAAATGCAATCCAATTGTGTGTGGTTTGCAAAAAAAAGGGGGTAACTTTTGTAACATGTCCTAATTATGAATCCAGAAACCATCCCAGTTGTGGCTCTCATAGTCCTAAGCTTCCTAATGGTGTCCTTTTCCCGTGCTGCGGGAGTAATAAGGAGGTCGATAACGCCTTGAACAGACCATGTACACCTGATAATCTTCGCAGTTAATTCCCTGAAACGAAGTCATCTAGTCATAGTCAAATTTCTTGTCAGGGCTCAAGGGTGAGCCCGAAAGCGTCCAGCAACAGAAATACTGTTAATGACAATTTGCTAACTGGCTGTTATAACTGTGCTCGCTACGAAGATCAAGTCAAGCTACTCACCTCGACAATTGATTTGTTAGAAGGTTGGATTGTTAAACTAGAGGATAACAGCACCCCTAATGTAAAAAACCCACTGTCTCCGAAAACTCCAATACTGTTCGGAAGAAATCAGATCAATCTTGTCCTATTAAAGCAGTCGCCAATATGCCTAAATCCGTGTCTGAGCCTCTAGTTATTTCTGAATCAGCTTCCAGCAGCTTTACAACTGTTGATCCCGTGCATGCCCTTCTTACTACAAGTATAGTTTCCGATCCAGTACCAACTCTTCCACCTGATGGTCAGAACGTCAGTAAATCACGGCCGAACTCAGCTTCGGAGAACACATTACCAAGCAACACCCATAATCAATCTATGCCTGCTCCAATATCACAGGACATTTTTGCAGATAACCATGGTCTTGGTTTTCAAGACATCATTCAAAATTCCACCAAACTAGACTCTCGCATTGTGAACATAAAACCTGGTGCTCCTTTTAATATTTTCGTGAGTGAAGTTAATAGAAGTATTGCTAAAAATTTAGTCATTTGGGCAGGAGCGAGCCACCAAACTTTCGAGTTATGTACTCAGCATCATCCTGATCTTGGGCGATAATTACTTGGTCATCAGGAAAGCATAACGGGTAAAGAGTTTCTTCATCATTCAGAGGGACACCCATTCCGGAACATTTTTTCTTCCATTCACGCAGTACATGCTCCAAGTATATTTTAAACAAGGTGGGGATTTCTTTTATCAAAAACTAATAAAAGTAGATGATGTTTCTGTTTTAAAATTCAAACCGTGCGTAAAGTAGACAAATTCTTTGCGCCTAAAATGAAGTAAGCTTTCATGGATCAATGTACCATGGTGGTTGGGCCGTAGGGACTGCTGACTGCACCTATTGGGCTGATGGTGTAAGTTTCTCAGTACTACTTGGATTTTTTAATCTTTCTTGTTTCTCTTCTTTTCCAATCTTGGCCAGTACTTTCTCTAGCCTAACTTTTCTGGTTAACTGATCATTCCATTGTATACAATTTTTGAGATGGTGCTTTTTAACTTGTAGGTACTTACATCATCAATGAAGAAAAAATGGCCACTGAAGATTACTTAATTCAATATGTCCTTGTCCGTGGTGATCTAGCAAAAAATCTGAAGTGGCCCCTAGGAGCAGTTATTGCTCAAGCATGCCATGCATGTGTAGCAGCCATTCACCTATTTCAACAGGATCCACATACTCAAGCATACCTCAACGACCTAAACAATATGCATAAAGCAGTCTTAGAAGTAAGTTCATTCCTAAAATATGAATTTTGTAACATTAGCCTGTGTGGTGATCATGCCTGGTTTACCTATTCTGCCAATTTGTTGCAGATTCTAATACTTACGTTAAGAATGTCTGACAACCATAATCGGATGGTGTAAGACAATTCTAAATAATTAGATAAATAAACAAATAAAGAAATAAAGAAATAATCAATTAAAATTAGAAAATAAAACTGTGTTTGTAAATCTTACTGTATTATAAAATCCTAAGCCCAAAAATTGTGAAGATCTGTTCCACACTGTCCTGAAGTTACCGCTAGAGCGAGAGTACCTATGGAAGTTTTACGGAGATGTAACACGTTATGTGCTGTAGCAATGCCTCATTTCATTTTATCGAATTTTTCATTTTAAGCCGAGTTATTGCGATAAATTTGCAAATCTATTTTTGCCTATTTCGTGACCAATATTGATCGTATGAACAAATTCATCTTGATGAAGGAGCGAGATAAATTGGTTATGCTGAAGCTTATTGTCTATAAAATATTTATAATTGGTCGAGTTATCGCAAAGAATTTAAAAAATTTACCGTGTCTGTGTGAAGGTGTACAGAGCATACCATTGAACTCTCAGCATAAACCTTTCTACCCATTGATGGAGCCTTATACGCACACGTGCACCTGGAAGCCCGATTTTTGTCTGCTAGACGAGAGTAATCGCCTTTTTTCCAAATTTGCGAAACTGGGGCAACATATTTGGTTGTCGGATTGCGCAAAAATAGCACGGATTCCCTTGAAAGACAAATGAGCGTCTTCGATATTTTTTGGGACAGACGGCAGCGTCCTAAAACGCCTATAAATCTCTCCCGCGACGGGTTCGGTTCCTAGAGGGTCGCCCGAGCCCTTGAGTGTGAATGAAAGGTGAACTCGTGGAGAATTGAAAGAGGCGATCGGGACAGTGCCCTAACAGATGTTTCCTTTGTTTTATTCCAAACCAGACACATTCCGCGGTACATTGAGTATTTGGACGATTTTAAAATAATTTGTTTTAAATACTTCATTGTACAACAGGAATCAAATAAAGCGTTTTCCTATTCTGTGGTTATAAGTGCGCACGTAAAAACGAAGCCTCATTCGCACGCGCATGAATGAAAATGCGAGAATTAATAATCGTAGAATTGAGACCCAGTGCACTGAAGAGAATTTAGTCCCCCGGTGATTCTGTTTTTTTTTTTTTTTTTTTTTTTTTTTTTTTTATTCATGTAAATGTTCATAGCAATTACACTTGGAATTTTCTTAGGTCTTTATACAATTTTTCTTTAACTTATACCTAATAAAGTATAATACACACCACTTTTTAGAGTTAATAACAGAATTACAATATTGAGAGGGGATAAAATGACGAAAGAGATAAAGATTAGATAACTGAAACTAGAGTGAAGAAAAAAGGGACATCAAGGTGAGAGCTAACTATTGAAAGAAAGAATCTTACGAAAGTTACGAAAAGATTGTAAGAAATGAAAATTAAAAATTAAAAATAATTAACTTGAATGTTAAAGAAAAAGGGAGAAAAAGTGGGAAAAACTAACAATGAATAGCTATGTGAATTCTCATGTAAAACATGAGAGTTTTTGATTTAAGAGTGCGTGACCCCGTCAGTCGACAAAGACTAAATCGGGGGCCAGTGGCACGAGCCTAACACTGGCGAAAGCGAGCCGTTGCCAACTCGTGGGGTTTTCTTCTTTTAAGACGGCGTGGAGCATCCATCCAGTCCAGGAGCGTTATCGCTTCCGGGTTAGGGTGTACTCCCAAACGCTCTTCGTAGTTGTTATACAACCTGGATATATATGAATCCATCTCTTCCATATCGAGCTCGCTACGAATATCTGCGTTACGCTCGTACCACCTGGCCCCCGCTATTTGTCTTAAAATTTTGTTTTGTGTGCGCTCAATGATCTTTAAATTGGAAGATGCAGCACAGGCCCACGTCTGACTGCCGTAGGTCCAGATTGGCCTTATCATGGATTTATAGAGTAATATTTTATTATTTAAGGATAATTTTGAACGCTTCCCAAGGAGCCATAGCATTTGACGATGCTTTAATTCGATTTGCTTTTTTTTAGTCAGGATATGTTTTTTCCAATTATGTCTGCTATCCATGATAAGGCCAAGATAACAGGCCTCAGACGAGTGAGGGATGGCAGTGTTTTCGAGAATCAACGGTGTGTGAACGTAAGGGCGGAGGGTAAACAGTACGTTCACCGACTTTGAAGCATTAAGCACGGTTCGATCATTATTCGTCCATTCTTGGATGTTATCCAGGCCCGACTGTAAGTTTGTAACAGTCTCGTTGTATGTGGGGGTTGACGATCCTACGGCAGTATCGTCAGCAAAGATACCCAATTCACAATTTTTTGTTTTTGGGATGTCTGCTGTGAAAAGACTGTAAAGGAGAGGGGAGAGTACAGATCCCTGAGGTACCCCTGCTCTAATTGATTTAAATACAGAGTAAGCGTCTTTAAATCGGACTCTGAAAAAACGACTATCTAAGTAAGACATTAACAGTTTGACATGATTGCCAGGGTGATTCTGTAAAATTGCATTCTTCTCGCAACAGATCAAAAAAGTTGCATTCTGGAAGAACACCTGGTTGCTCCGCGACTTAACAACCGGAAAGTACATAATTGTCGTTCGTGTTTCTTTAAATTGTCTTCTCTCTTAAGTAAAGAAACCTGTGACACTGTGGCGCGAAGCGCCGCTTGGAAGGGCGAAGCGCTTCCGGGGGTTGGGCCGCGGAGTGGCCAGGGGGCGCAACCCCCTAGTAAATAATAAAAAAATATATGAATAAATGTATATATATATAAATATATTTGTTGCATCTCTATAGCAACGTCAATGAGATATAAAGAAGTTCAATTTATCACATTCACTCTCTCTGTACTCCGGCTGTTTATCTCATGTAATTAATTGTTTTTTAAATAATATTCTATCTTTACTCTAAGTATAATTTCTTTTTATTGTTGACTCAACAATTTGGTGACCCCGACGTGATCAAATATAATAAAATACAATTGAAGAAAAGTTATTGACAAGGTTATGTGTAAAAAATTCCTATCATCATATGAAATTGTTCAGTGCAGTTAGCGTGCGCTTCCACTCAATAATTTCATTGATTATGGGTTGCAAGTTCATGTAGTTAGCGTGCGCTTCCATGACTTGCAAAAGTGACCTTTTGAGGATTTAAAACCTTTGCAGTTAGCGTGCGCTTCCAAAGGGTTAAATCCTAACCTTAAATTCTATTATCCTCGCAGTTGGCGTGTGCCTCCAAGGTAAAATATTATAACTGGAGATAATACCATGCAGTTAGCGTGCGCTTCCATGGTTTAAATCCTGACGGAACATTGTGCTCCAAAGGGACAGTGGCAATTTATGCCTATTAAATTTGGTAGGTAGCGTTTCGCTCCCCAAATCATGCAGACTCTACTTGCATATAAAAAAAAAAAAAAGATGTAATGGCCAGATCGCTTAAACATTGCGGAGGACGCTCCATAAGACAATGTACAAACTTGTATTTCAACTTTCCTGAACAACAGCTGTTTTAGGCTGTGTTGCCATTCCATCATTTTAACGACATTTTATATGGTTGCAGAAGAAATTAAGGTTATAGGNAAATGAGAAGCCACTCATTCTGCAGTGTTTTAAAAATTGTTTCCTTTTCTACTTTATTTCTTTTAATGACTTTTTTTGTATCCGAAGGGCCCTTTATCATTATGTTTAGGAAAAATCTAGAATATCACCTACTCCAAACAAATTTTCGCTGGTCTATACACACATTGATGTTAAAAGAATAAAACCGTATTCAAGTTTTTCAGCAATATGTCCTATTATCTGGTTATAGGACTTTTGGTCCAATTTTTTTTGTCCACAAATTTTTTCGTCCAATTTATTTTGTCCACGACTTTTTGTCCTTGAAATCTGGTCCAAGTTAAATTTGTCCTGGTAAATAGTTAGTCCTACGCATTTGTTCGTCCAGTGGTATTAGGTCACATTTCTGTGGTCCAGTAAGGTAAAAAAGTTACGTCCAAAACTCACGTCCAATGAGGCCGTTTCAGCTACTTCCTTTCAGCTTTCAGCTACTTTGCTGTTCCCTGTTCCCTCCCGAAACATGGAACGTCTACAACTTAGTTTTGGCAGATCGTATTAGAACAAACAACGCAGTTGAGGGCTTTCACTCAAAATTCAACCAAATCGTCGGCACGCATCATGCTAACATTTGGAAGCTCATTGACGCTTTTAAAAAGGTTCAACAGGACACAGAGCGTACGTTAACACAGGCTCGGGGGGGTCATCGCCGCTTTAAACCACCGGTGAGCAAGAAGTACACTACCAATCAGGCAATGATTGACAACATCGTCCGAAATTACCAACATTACTTGGACACGAACTCACTTAAGAAGTACCTCCGAGCATGTGCGTACCACCTCAAGTTGCACACGCCACGCGCAGATCCACCGGACTCGGACGAAGAAGACTCAGACGATGACTGAAAGTAGTTGAAAGCTGAAAGGAAATAGCTGAAACGGCCTCATTGGACGTGAGTTTTGGACATAACTTTTTTACCTTACTGGACCACAGAAATGTGACCTAATACCACTGGATGAACAAATGCGTAGGACTAACTATTTACCAGGACGAATTTAACTTGGACCAGATTTCAAGGACAAAAAGTCGTGGACAAAATAAATTGGACGAAAAAATTTATGGACAAAAAAAATTGGACCAAAAGTCCTGTAACCGAAATTAAGCTATGGAAGAAGATGAAGGAAATTTGAGGTTGGCAAGCCTTGATAGCACTAAACGACAGCTGGAACTTCAATTACAATGTTTCAAGCATGTTTCGGAGCAAGACTCAATAGATGTAGACGCTTTGAAAACCAGATTTGAATCCTCAAAAGGAATTCTAACTCAATACCTACGGGTATTTCAAGAATTAACAACAAAAAATCCAGCGGCATACCCGATTGA